AATGGGTGAGCAAGAAGGCAAAACAACGCAGTAGTGTTAGGAAGGGTAAAAGTAGGACACAGAGGGCTCAGAAAGCAATGCAAAGTCCAATGCAAGCCTTGTGTTTCCTTGCTTGCCCATGCACAGCAAGGAAGAGAAAGCAGGGCAAGGACAAGAAACAAAGGGATAGGAAGTTCAAGGTTGTGGATGGGTGAGGAAGGCAATGCAAGGCAGTGGACTTGAAGGAAGAACAAGGGAAAGACAAAAAGGGGTCGCTATGACAAGGCAGGGGGAGTAGAAAAGGCAAGGCAAGTCAAAAAGGTAAGGCAAAGCAAGGCTAGGAAAGAAAGGTGTAGGGAGGTGAAGGTGGTGGATGGGTAAGCAAGGCATTGAAAGGGAATGGAGTGGTAGGAAGGACAAGGAAAGATACGCAGGGGTCCATGAAGCAGTGCGAGGTTAGAGTAGGCAAGGTTGCCTTGCATTACCTTGCAGACCCTTTGCCTCCCCGTCGTCATCTGCTTACTTCTTTCTTCTCCATTGCCTTGCCACTCCCACTCCTCCTCTAACTTGGCTTGCCTTTCCTATTCCAACCCTGAATTGCTGTGCCAACTTCTCTCTGTCTTCCCTTGCACTTCCTACCACTCCATTGTTGCAGTCTTCTCTTGCTCTGATCCTTGGTTTGGCTTGGCCGGGGGAACTGGCAAAATAAATGAGGAATGGGTACCATGGTCTTGCCTGAAACATAAAGACTTTAACAACAAAATAACAAATGTGGAAAACTGCATAGTCTGGGGGCAAGATCCAAAGACCCAGGGGTATGGTGAACGGAACAAGGCAGAGGGGTCTTCTGAGGGCAAGGGTCCAATCACAAACGCAAACTCGGAACATGACCTTACACGCAACAGGTTCCGAACCAATTGAGAACAAGAACCAGAAACCTGACCAAATGTCCGATAGTTCTATTAACATATTGACTCCCATGGCCCCAGTCTTCTCGCCATGACCTGACTAGGTGTCCTGTTTCCCGTGGTCTCATACTGAGGCCAAACCACCACTCATTTCAGCCAGACATGTTTCCATATCTTCCCCTCTCTTTAGAAAAATTTTCTGTAAAGATTTCTGAACAGCTCTTAACAGACAACTTACAAAATAGGGTAACAATAGAAACACAACAACAACAGCTCCAAAAATCAGTAAGCCCATCTGACCAAAGATAAAGCCCAACCAGATAAGTTTCATTTCTTGAATAGTCATTTGAGCCACTCTTCATCATCTTCTACTTGCAGTTTCTTGACTCCCTTTCTGAGAATTTGGATGCTTTTGTGTATGGACTCGCTGTGATCTGAAATATTCATGCAGCACACGCCAGGAAATGTCCCTGTTCTGGTGCAGCCCAAGTCCAGCAATTTGCTGGCACACAAATCCAAAACCAGGCATAGACATGGTGCCTACACCAACCCGATCTTGTGTTTGCTGACACCGCTAGTGCCCAGATCCAGAATTTTTCAGATGCTTGCAGAGCATAATTCCAGGAATATGCTGGCACAGAAAGTTAAAATTAGGCAATTTCCCAATGCCGGCACTTTCCCTGCCCAGATCTGGCATGCGCTGGCACTGCCAGTGCCCAGATGTGGCAATTTCCCAGTGCCGGCACAACCCCAATGCAGCAATTTTCTGGCAAAGAAAGCCAAAACCTGGTAGCTTCCCGGTGCTGGCATTAGTACTGCCCTAATCTGGTGTGTTGGGGTTGGTTTAAAAGAAGAAGGAGACCTTGGCTTAAAGCCTTGGGAAAACCCTCTCTAGTTAGGGTGAGCAGGAGCTCCCACCCATACTCCTCTTGTTCAGTTATGCAGATTGTTACTAGAAAGTTCTGACTTCTCTTTGCTTCCATTACTTACTTCCTACTGCAAAAATTGTTGTATTCTGAATCGTTCCTTCCACTTGGATCCTTCCCTCAGATCCCACCTTTACCCCTCCCCATATATAAATGCATCAATATCCCTGCTAGACACTGGACCCAGGCTTTCTTCTCGTTCGCTCTCTGTACTCTGCACGCCGTCCTGTTTGTTGTGTTAGCCTTCATTGAAGTTCTGTTTCCGGACAACCAGATCAAAGCAGTCTTTCTTTGTAAAGTCGCCAGAGCCAGTTCTCGGGGAAACCACTGGTCATCCGTCTGGGCGAGGACCAGAAGGTTCCACTGGTGTTTGCTGGCACCTCCAGTGCCCCGATCTGGAAATTTCCCTCTTCCGTCACTGCTCATGACCAGCAATTTGCTGGGAAAGAAAGCTAAAACCTGGCAATTTCCCATTGCCGGCACCACCCAATCTGGGGTTTGCTGGCAGGAGGACCCCAGGAAGGAAGGAAGGAAAAGAGGAAGGGGTCCAGATCCAGTCCTTCCTGGCACCTGGAGACTGAAATGTGGTCTTTGCTGGCACTGCCAGTGCCCAGATCTGGAAATTTCCCTCTTCAGGCACAGCCCAAGTGAAGCAATTTGTGGGCACAGAAATCCAAAACCTGGCAACTTCCTGGCACTAGGTCTAGCCCTGCCCACATCTTGTGTTTGCTGTGCCAGCACCCAGGTTTGGAAATTTCCTGGTGCTGGCAGTGCCCAGATCTGGCAGATTTCTGTTGCTGCCAACAACACGGCCCAGATCTGGTGTTTGCTGGCACCGCCAGCACCCAGATCTGAAAACTTCTTGGTGCCAGCACATCCCAAACCCAGTGATTTGCTGGCACAGAAAGCCAAAATTTGGAAGATTCTGGGTTCTGGCTCCAGCACCATCCAGATCTGCTGTTTGCTGGGACCACCAGTGCCCAGATCAGGAAATTTTTTGGTGCCAGAACAACCAAAGTCCAGTAATTTGCTGGCACAGAAACCCAAAAGCCAGAAATTTCCAATCCTGACACCAGCCAGGTGTGGTGTTTGCTGGCACCACCACTGCCCAGATTTGGAAATTTCTTGGTGTCTTCACAGCCCAGGTGTAGCAATTTCGTTTTCAGCTATCTGAGGCAGAGAAGGCTCCGCTCAGACTGTGGCTTTCCTTTTTCTTGGAACTGTTTAACCCAGCTCTGGACAGAAAACCCAGAAAAAAACCGGCAGCTCACACCTGTGGCCCACCGAGGTCTGGGACCCTGCATTCCAGGGCCAGAGGGACTGAGAAGAGACCGAGTGAGCCAACTACAACCCACAAAAAGGACTTTCTGAATTGCCATCTCTTCAGAACTGTGAGGGGTTTTATTTCATATTATTCATGCTTGTGAATACTTTACTTGATAAATAAACTGTTTTTTTTTCATTTTTCTCTAGGGAAGTCTTCTCCTGAAATAGTAGGGGGAGGGGCCACTTGAACTTGATTTGTAGATGGACTCCTTTTGGAGGTTTCCTCACAACATTTGCCCTAAACCAGGACAAACAGTCACAATTGTGCCACTTCACCAGTGTCACAACTCCCCAGACCCCCAGGAAAAGAAAGGACATGTAAAGTTCTCCAAACATTTGGCCTGCTTTGCTGCAAAAGTCATGCTTCACACACAGTGCAGTGTGGAAAGCCAAGAGAAGCTGCAGTAGGTGGCAAATCTTGGGACAGAAGCTCGACCTTGTTCTCCATGAGAGGTTCTTTACAAGAGCAGACAGGAGAAGATTCCTGGAAAAGTGAAACAGCTTTCCAGAAGTGAAATGAAAATGAAAGAAACTATCTAAAATGTTTTCCTCTTTATTTCTATGCTCCCCTCTTCCATGTTGCAGGACTTCTCCATGATGTGAATTCCAAATTAATCTCACCTCTAAGATGGGTCACGTAGCAAGTTATAAACACTCTAAAATACCATGAGCTACACACAGTTTTCCTTCCCCTGTTTTTATTGGAAAGCAACGCTGGAGACGTAAGTGCAGTGCTTGGGTCAGGTACGAATCCTGCACCAAGGGAACGTGCCCCAAGAGTGTTTGAGCCTCAGCAAGGACAATGCACAGCAGCGACCGAGGGCATTCCCCTGCCAGTGTGCAGGAGTCAGGACTCTGGATCTGGGCTCAACACTGCAAAGTTCCTGTGTTTGGACAGACTAAGGGGCTGTCCCCAGGGTGTGCGGGGCTTGGCCGTGGGGCTCATGGGGCGAGCGGGGAACGGACACGCAGACAAACGGCCTCGGTGCTTCAGCTGCAGAGGCAGCAGCGGCGGCAGCAGCGGTGGCAGCAGCGGCAGCAAAAGCAATGACTCTACAACACTCTTTCTCTTCTTTCTCTTCTTTCTCTTTCTCCCTCCCTGTCGGACACCTTCATCTCGGTGTCCCTTTCCCTGTGTCCGTCTCCTCTCCCCGCCTCCTTCTCCCCCATGCCAGGCCGGGCCATGCCCCCGGCCCGCCCCCGGCCCCGGGCGGGGCTGCCCTGTCCCCCCCCCCTCCCGCCCCGCCGCGGTCCCGCCTCCGCCTGGCTCTGGCTGTGCTGGCGGTGGCGCTGCTGGGAGGGCATCAGTGCCTGGGGCTGGGGTGGCATCACCGCCTTTTGGCTCCGCCTGGCCTGAGCCTGGCCCTGGCCCCGGTGCAGGCTCCGGCCCTGGCTGCGGCCCCGGCACCTCCCGGGCCCCGCAGAGGACACACGTGGCGCGGCCGCGCCCGCCGCCTCCGCCGCGGCTTCCCCGGCCTGAACTCCGCCGCTCGGCAGCGCGGCTGCCGGCCCTGAGCCTCCCGTGTCCCGTTCCCGAGACCGAAGGCCTGGGGATGGCAGGCCCGAGGTGGTTGAGGGGCGCTCGGGGGCCGCTCCTGGCCCCGGGCCGAGCGCTGACAGCCACGTCCCGCCCGCAGGGAAGGCGCAGGAGGCCCTGCAGGAGTGCTACCGAGTGGGTTCGCTGCTGGGGCGCGGCGGCTTCGGCAGCGTCTTCGCAGCCACGTGGCTCTCGGACAGCGCCCCGGTGAGCGGCGGGGCCGGCGGTGGGCGCAGGAGGAGGAGGAGGAGGAGGAGGAGGAGGAGGAGGAGGAGGAAGGAGGAGGATGGGGCTCGGCAGGGTGGGCGGCGAGCTCAGCCCGCTGCTGCCTTTGGCTTTCAGGTGGCCATCAAAAGGATGCCACGGAACCGCATCCGGCACTGGGGCGAGCTGGTAAGTGAGCGGGGCCAGCGGGAACAGCCAGGCCGTGCCTGGCGGGGATGAGGAGAGGCCCGGCAGGGTGGAAGCAACCAGGACGCCTCGAGGGGGAGCGGGCATGGGGCAGAGCATCCCGGGCTGGCTGAGGGGTTCCCCAGCCCTGGCACGACATCAGTCCCACTGGTGGCACCGTGGTCCTCCCGCAGCCCGACGGCACCAGCGCACCCCTGGAGATTGTGCTGCTGGACAAGGTGTCCACTGGCTTCCCTGGTGTGGTCCAGCTGCTGGAGTGGCTTGAGCTCCCCAACAACATCGTGATGGTGCTGGAGCAGCCGGAGCGGTCTCAGGACCTCCTGCATTTCATTCGGGCACGGAGGTTCCTGTCTGAAGAGGTGGCACGGCAGCTGTTCCGCCAGGTGCTGGAGGCCGTGCGGCACTGCACCAGCCGTGGGGTCCTGCACCGTGACATCAAACCAGAGAACATTCTGGTTGACTTTGCCCCTGGCCAGGCAAAATTGATCAACTTTGGCTGTGGCACCTACCTGCAAGACACAGCCTACACTCACTTTGCAGGTGAGCCCAGGCAGGGGTGTGCTCCCGGTCCCACCATCTCAAGGCGCAACATCTCACAGGCCAAGCTGGGTGTGGCAGCAAGGATTCTCCCTTTTGCTGCCAGTCAGGGTACTGAGTCTTCACCTGAGTTGCTTTTGAGTGGGGCTGGGTGGGGAGGCATCTTCCAGCCCCGCTGGCAGCCTTTGCCCACTACTCTGCCTGGGGCTGGGGTTGGAGCAGCAGCAGCCAGCCCGACAAAAGCACCTGTGGGTGGGGGTAGCATAGGAGGGAGCCAGAACCAGTGTACCAGCCAGTTTGGTGTGCAGGTGAGAGGAAGGGCTTGGGCTGCTCCACTGACCTTGTTTGCCTTGGCTTCAAAAAATTTTTGGGGCACTGCAAGCAGGGAGGATAAGGAGATGATTTTTTCCCTCAGCCCTGAGTGGGTTTTTGCTTTGCATGTCATGGTCAGGCCATGCCAGGGCTTCTGCTGCCCTCTTCCAACACCAGTGGCTTCTTGTCAGGCCCTGAGTTTGTACGCAAGTCCCAGGTGCTGGCGAGAGTGCAGCAGTCACCCTGTGTGCCACTGGGGCGGCCCCTGCATGCCCAGGGATGCTGGGGCAAGGCTCTGGAAGCAGCAGCATCCCCCTGATGAACTCCATCTGTATTCCATAGGAACACTGTCATACAGCCCCCCGGAATGGACCCACTTGGGCTGGTACCATGGCGAGGCAGCAACGATCTGGTCCCTGGGCATCCTGCTGCACCAGATGGTCTGCGGGCAGCACCCTTTTAGGAGGGGCCGGAAGATTGTTAGCGTTTGGAAACACATAATCACGGGATATGATTATATGCAGGTGCTTTTATTAAGATATCTGGGAGTTGGGGTACAAACCCAAATCTGACTCCGCCATAGGTTTCGAGCTGAACGTATTTTATTCCCTATCGTTCTATAACTTACACATTAATTATTAAACTTACATTGTTCTATTGTATACATTGACATGAGTTTATAGTGATCTTTCTTAGGTCCATGACCACAGTTCCACATAATTGTACTTTCTGATTAAACAGTAATTATATTTAATTACTAAACAGTCGTCACATCTAACAATTATATCAATTATCATGTACTAGCTACATAGTACTATTTCTCCCTGTGCTAAAGGTATTTACCTGTCCAAAGCCTACTAAGTTGTTTTGTTATTTTTTTTTTGTTAACCCTAAATCTCATGATTTTAAAACCTTTTTACTATCATTTTCCCCCCTTTGAAAGTATTTTCACTTCATCATAAGTGCAAATACTTTGACTTGATACAGTCTTTAGTTTCTAAGTTTATACATGATGTTCTTCAAATCCAGGATTGACGTGAACGTTGTCATGGACTGGAGGATCAGAGGATGATGGGTGTGGGTCCCGTGTCAGTGCCTTGATTATTTTCCGGTTCTAGGATGTCCTCTTCTGTATTTCTCCTTTTAGGACACTGTAGACTAACCAAATTACTAAGAACACAATTAATAGGATTATTGCACTTTCAATGATAGACTTAATCCATGAACTCACATTCCACCCTAACCCTTTAAAGACTTTGTCTAACCAGCTCGTAGTCAAATCTTTCTGCTCTTCTTGTACTTCATGCTCTATTTGTTTTAACTGATTGATGTCATGTTCTACATCTGCAGTTACATTTGGGATGTGGATGCAGCAATGATCAATCTGTCCCTTTAAAAATCCACACACTCCATGCTCTTTCAGGAGTAACAAATCTAAGGCCAATCAATTTTGTAAGGTCATTTTTGTGGTGGCTTGTAATTGTACATTTAGTTATTTAAATCCTTCCCTAGTGACCCTAGCCAGTCTATCTACCTGACCTGTACGTTTGTACAACATTTCTTTATTCTGATAGTTTGCTATAGGACCAAGCAAAGACTCTAAGGCCCACCCATATTTCACTCCACTAGAGGGTTCTTGCCAGGTTTCATCTTGATTTTCATTATTTGGAACTTCTCGTCTTGTTCTTATGTGCAGAAGTTCATCTTTTCCCTTAAATGGGGACTTTTTCCAAATTGGACACAAAGTAGGGAGGCCTAAAGTAATTTCTTTTACTTTCCCATCTACAGGTAGATGGGTTGTCCAGGTACCATCACTTGTTGCCCATACGAATTGTCCTGGACTTCGGAGTGTACTCTTGGTACATCCTATAGGTATTTTATAATCCACTTTACCCTGTTTGTGTTTGATACCTCTGAAGGCACAACCAATTTGTAAGGCTACTGCCAGTGGTGGAATTTGTTTTATTTCTATGTCATCAGAGGTTCAATCATAAGTTTTATTACATGCCCACCAACTTACTTTGTCTGCCTTTGTTCTACTACTAGTGTCAGTGTTCACTACTGCTGGATCTGTTTCATTTTCTGAACCTTCCCATGTAATGCACCAAGGAGTGGCAGCCATGTACTGGAATTTTTGAAGTATACTTAGAGACCACGCACTGTCCCAAGGCTCTATTTGACCTTTGTGATCTTTTGCCTCGCACTTCCACACCAGAGTGGTTTCTGTAACATTTTCTGTAACCTTTTTATAATGTGGTAAGTAGCATTGCCATTGGTTTGGAATGCCCCCTGCCCATTCTATTGGATACCCTATTGTGCCATTATTTTGAAGATAGTCTCTTTGACGCAAAGGATGTAACCATTGTCCTATTACTTTCCAGGTTACCTTGATTACCTGTCTTGATTCTGGTACCTGTTTGCATATAATTGTTTTGTTCTTTTGTATTTCAGGCAGTTTTGTCGTTATGATTCCCCAATTTATTTGGTCTCCCGCTGCCTTAGGTATTGGCAGACAGGCAGTTATTCTGCTAGTGTTCTGCATTTTGGAAAAATCTTTAACTAATCCAATCATTACATTCTCAGCCTGAATTGCATTGGAAACCTTTATCACCTGTGTTTCTGCCTGGACCTCTCTCTTCATTCTAGAATGAAGAGTAGTTAATTGATCTTTTTGCATTCCACATCCCAAAGACCATGAAAGGAGAATTGGTACAATTATCGTTAACATTCCTGAAATAATTAAACACATCTTATCTGCAGCTTTGTTGGTCCCACAGTTTACACAGTCCGCAGTCCGGGATGGGCTTTCTTCACTCGAGTGTAGTGTATCCAGGAGTCCACTCCAGCTACCTTGACTGCTGTGAAGGTGGTCAGTAGTACCTGATGGGGTCCAGTCCACTTTTCTTTCAGTGGTTCTTCATTCCAATTCTTAATGTACACCTCGTCTCCTGGATGTATGTCATGAACAGGATTCTCGAGAGTCAGCGGCCTATTCCACACGAGGGCGCTCCTAAGCCGTGCTAAAGTTTTCCCAAGAGACAGAACATAGTTATATACTTCCTGTTTTCCCGTGATGTGTATATTTGGATTGGGTCGAGGAGATTCATATGGTTTCCCATACAATATCTCATAAGGACTGACTGACATCCCACTCCTAGGCTTTATCCAGATTCTCAGTAATGCTATTGGTAAAGCCTGTGGCCACTGCAGTTTGGCTTCTTGACATATTTTACTGCTCTGCCTCTTTAGTGTTTGATTCATCCTCTCCACCTGTCCACTTGACTGGGGTCTCCATGGTGTGTGGAGGTCCCAAGTTATTCCCAGCAACCTACTTACTTCTTGTACCACCGTGGCTATGAAATGGGGTCCCCTATCTGATGATATCCCTAAAGGCACCCCGAATCTGGGAATGATTTCTTGTAGTAGCCACTTCACTGTTTCTTTTGCTTGGTTCGTGCGACGGGGAAGGGCTTCTGGCCATCCAGAAAATGTATCAACCCCTACTAATAAATATTTGTATCCTCGAGTTCTTGGTAATTCTACAAAATCTACCTGCCAATAATCTCCTGGTTCTATCCCTACCCGAACCCTTCCTAGTTGTGCCTGTCGTCTAGCCATTGGGTTATTTTTCAAGCAAACCTCACACTTTGACATTATTGATTTTGCCATTGTTAACATTCGTACTGAGACCAAATAACGTTTTAGAAATTTTACCAATGCCTCTGCACCCCAATGACATTCATTATGTTTAATTTGTAGAACCTCTCTCATTACCAAGGGGGGGTACCACTATCTGTTCGTGTGCAGTTACATACCACCCTTCTGGATTCTTCTGTGCATTCAGTAAATGTCCCAGTTTCTCATCTTCTGCTGAATATTTCAGCTGTGGAGGTAAATTGAATTGAGATACATTAAGTTTTAAAGGGTCAAATGCCATTGTTGTTTGCACCTTTCGAGCAGCCTGTCGAGCTGTCCAATCTGCCTTTCGATTTCCCTCACAAATTTTGGAGTTTCCTGATTGATGTGCTTTACAGTGCATAATTGCCACTTGTTCAGGTTTTTGTACTGCTCTTATCAGCTGCAGAACTGCATCTTGATGTTTAATGTGCATCCCATGAGATGAAAACAGGCCCTGTTCTTTCCATAGGGCCCCATGCCCATGAACTACTCCAAATGCATATTTTGAATCAGTCCATATGTTCACCTTTTTCCCTTCACTTAATTCTAGTGCTCTGGTCAAAGCAACCAGTTCTGCCTTCTGGGCGGATGTATTTGGAGGCAATGCTTTTGCCTCTACCACTGTACTGATTGTTGTTACCACATATCCAGTGTGTCTGATTCCGTTCTCCATGAAACTGCTTCCATCTGTGAACAACTCCCAGTCTGGCTGTTCTAGAGGGACATCTTTCAGATCTGCTCTAGCCGCACAGGTGTGTTCTATTACTTCCATGCAATCGTGTTCCAATGGGCTTTCTTCAGATGTTGTACCTAGGAGCAAGGCTGGGTTCAAAAGGTTAGTTGTTTTTAATGTTACATCGTCTTGCTCCGTTAAGATTACCTGGAATTTCATCATTCGACTCGGGGAGAGCCAATGGCCCCCCTTCTGCTCCAACACAGTAGTTACCATATGTGGTACATAGACATCTATGTGCCTTCCCATGGTGAGCTTCCTGGCTTCTTGTATCAGGATCACAGTGGCTGCGACTGCCCGCAGACATGAAGGCCATCCAGCACTGATGTTGTCAAGTTGTTTGGAGAAGTAGCCCACCGGCCTTTTCCAGCTTCCCAAACGTTGGGTTAAGACTCCCAAATGCCAGACGCATCCTTTCATGTACAAACAGCTGAAAATCTTTGGACAAATCAGGTAACCCCAATGCAGGAGCAGTTGTCAAGGCCTCCTTTAGTTTGAGGAAAGCCTCCTTCTGTGGTTTGCCCCAGGTAAATGGCTGCATCTTCTGGGCCTCATACAGGGGTTTTGCAATTAGTCCATAGTCCATGATCCACAGGCGGCACCACCCTGTCATCCCAAGGAAGACTCGCAGTTTGTGTTGATTCTGAGGCTCTGGAATGGCACAAATAGCTTGAATACAGTTAGTACCCAGTTTTCTCTGCCCTTGTGAGATTTCACATCCCAGGTAAATCACAGTCTGTTGTGCAATTTGTGCTTTTTCTTTAGATACCTTCTATCTTACCATTCCCAGTGAATTTAAAATCTCGATTGTTACCTTTATGCAGGTTGCTTTCTCCTCTGTGGCTATCAGTATATCGTCAACATACTGTAGCAGTAGGTATTGTTCTCTTGGTACTTGCCCCCGAGCCGTCCAGGTTTTCAGCTCCTTTGCCAGTTGGTTTCCGAATAGGGTAGGACTGTTCTTAAATCCTTGTGGGAGCCGTGTCTAGGTGAGCTGGGTCTTTCTTCCATTTCCTGGATTTTCCCACTCAAAGGCAAACAGGTTCCTACTTTCTTTGTCAAGGGGTATGCAGAAAAAGGCATCTTTTAGAGCAATTACTGTAAACCATTTATATATCTCTTTTACGGATGTTAAGAATGTGTAAGGATTGGCAACCACTAGGTAAATGTCCTTAGTTATTTCATTTATTGCTCTCAGATCTTGCACTAATCTATACTCACCATTGGGTTTCCTCACTGGAAATATGGGTGTATTATATTCTGATTCGCATTCTTCTAAAATTTGGTATTTCAGGAATTTATCAATAATTTTTACTATTCCCTGTCATGGTTCTGGTTTTATAGGATACTGTTTAACTTGGACTGCTTTTGCCCCGTCCTTTAATTCAACATGTATTGGCTGTGCTAATTTAGATTTCCCAGGTATAGCTGTTTCCCATACTGAAGGAATTACTGCATCTTCTACTTCCCTAGGAATAGAGGGAGCTGGTTTTTCCTTAATCATTAACATTTTTCCTGTCTTTGATTCAGGTATTTTCATTAAAAGTTCCCCATTCTCAAAGGTTATCACTGCATCAAGTTTTGCCAATAAATCTCTACCTAAAAGGGGAATCGGACACTCAGGCACATACAGGAATTCATGCGTCAGGACCTTATTTCCAAAACACAGATCTAAGGGTTGTAGAAATGGCCGATTTTCCTCCTTCCCTGTTGCCCCGATTATTGTTGTTTGTTTGTCCCCAATTTGTCCTTGCAAAGAATTCAGTACAGAGTATGTGGCACCCGTATCTACCAGAAACTTTACTGCCCTATCACCTAGCTGTATGGTCACGAAAGGTTCCTTGCTATTTTCTAGACAGCTGCTATATTGTCCTACCACCATTAATTTTGCAATATCTTGATCTTGGCTTGGCTGGTTGCCTTGGTAAAACCGGTTTGGACACTCGTTCCTCCAGTGACCTTCTTGTAGACAAAAAGCACACTGGTTAAATCCTAATTTTGGCACGATAGTTTCTCCATGTCCTCTGGCAAGTCCACCTCCCCTCCCCCATCCACGGCCACCTTTGTGGTTGTTGGGGGGGTTTTTGGTATGTTTGTTTGTTTGTTTGTTTGTTTGTTTGTTTTTATGCTTGGATTTCCTTTCCCTTGTATTACTGCTATTACTGCTAAGAGGTTTTGCTGTTGCTTTTTACTTATTTATTTGGCTGCTTTAAGTACCATTTCTTTCTCTGCAGAAAGGTGTCTAATATCACTTGTATATCATCCCAATCTGGATTCTGAGTTTTCATAATAATTTTTACCACTCTTGCTACTTTATCAGGATTTTCCCTATAAGTTCCAGCCGATTGTTTCCAAATTACTAAATCCGCAGGGGAAAAAGGTATCTTTACAAACACTGGCCCCTCCGCTCCGATTCCCTGTCGTAAGGGGGCAATCACAGTCCGCTTCTGTCTACCCAGATCTTTTCTGGCCAAGACTGGGGCAGGCTTTGACCGATTCCGAGTCCTATGAGATACCGGTATCGCAGATTCACTTTCATCTCTACTCTCACTATCTCCTTCACTTTCATCCTCCCCCCTTTTATACATTACAGTCAAATTTAGATCATCTCTAGGGGAAGAGGGGTCAGGTGATGGTGGAAGAGGAGGATAGGGAGAGAGGGTTTGAGTGGGTGAGATAGGACTAGACAAAATAGCATTAGGTGAAGCGGGTGATAAAGTAGGGGTAGGGGCAGGCAGGATAGGGTTAGGTTCTCTTGGTCTTGCGGGGGCTATTTGTAAATCAACATCTGTATCGTTCCTCCGATTCAGACTTTCTTTCAATGCAAAATGTCCTAAACAATGTTTCCCCTTCACACAAACCTCACACTTATCACTTGTAGATGCGTTAACTACCATCAATCCACATTCAATCTGCCATTCAGGCTTATCTCGAAAGTGGAAAAACAAATCAATATAAGGAACTGTAGCGTCGCGGTCGGCAGCCTTTCACCGCGACACCCCGAGCGTGGGCGTGCTCGGCGGCGAGGGAAGAGGAGGGGGCGGCCGGTCCCCCTGTGAAGCTCTGCAGTCCCAGTTGTCAGCGCGGGGACAGATGGAGGCGGCATGGGACTTGGGGGTGAACAGGATCGGTTTATTTCGTGTGCCCCAAGACCCCTTGGGGCGGGCGGACAGATGTTTTATACAAGAACTTATGAGGAGGGGTATAGGAACAGCAACCAATAGGGGAATAACAAGGGAGGAGTTTGGGGCAGGACTAACATATCATAAACTTATCAGGGGAAACGGAAGTGGAGTAACACAAGGTAACCAATAGGGTGTTGAGCCTCACTAAATAGACAGGGACTGTTCTGGGAAAAGGGGCAGGGAAAGAGGCAGGGGAAGGGAGGATTCACATCTTGGAGAAAAGGGGGTTAGGAGTGAGATGGGGGGGGGGGGTGTGAACAGACACTGAAAGAATAAAAAACACGCTTCCGCAAGGAACCTCATCCCATTTTCCTTCGCGTTTACAAAACAACATCAATTGCAAAATAGTGTTATGTTGCAATGTTCCATTCAGTGGCCATTTTTCACCACCTTCCAAGACATATTCTGGCCACCATGTATTACAGTAATCAATTAACTTACCCTTATGTAAGTCTTGCCCAAAATTACCTTGTTTCCAATGTGCTAATAAGCTCCCCAAAGGAGAAGAACGTGGTATGGGGGCATTGCCGCCCAAAAACCCTTTAAGCTTCTCCATATTACAGCTACAAAACACCACAAATTGCCGAACCTGCAACGCTTTCACGATGTCTAACGGACGGCGCCCAGGCTTTACCACAGGAATTCCTTTAACCCAATCGAGCGTAGCTTTCGCTGCATCTTATCAGCAGGTTCCACACCAAATTAAAAGCACCGTACCTCTCTCCAGGGGACGTTGTGAGCGGCGGAGGGTCGCGGCGCCGATGGGCTCCCCGAGAATCCCTCGATGCCAGCTGGAGCGTGATCAGGTCGCGGGGTCCTCAGCAGCGCTCGCAGGGTCCCATCTGGGTCGCCAAAATGTTAGCGTTTGGAAACACATAATCACGGGATATGATTATATGCAGGTGCTTTTATTAAGAGCTCTGGGAGTCGGGGTACAAACCCAAATCTGACTCCGCCATAGGTTTTGAGCTGAACATATTTTATACCCTATCATTGTATAACTTACACATTAATTATTAAACTTACATTATTCTATTGTTTACATTGACATGAGTTTATAGTGATCTTTCTTAGGTCCATGACCACAGTTTCACATGATTGTACTTTCTGATTAAACAGTAATTATATTTAATTTCTAAACAGTCGTCACATCTAACAATTATATCAATTATCATGTACTAGCTACATAGTACTATTTCTCCCTGTGCTAAAGGTATTTACCTGTCCAAAGCCTACTAATTTTTGGGGGGGGGTTTTGGGGGTTTTTTTGGGGGTTTTTTTTGTTAACCCTAAATCTCATTATTTTAAAATCCTTTTACTATCAAGATCAGCTGGGACCATCAGCTCTCGCTGCCACAGCGGCTCTCTCCAGGTGGATCCTCATCTCTGGCCACGGGGGAATACCAGTGCTGGGAGACAGCAGCAGGCTTGTGAGCATCTCGCTCTGGAAGCTGCTGAGAAGGTGCCACATGTCCTGCTCTCCTGCTCTCCTCCACAACAGGGAATTGATGGGAAAGTTTAGGCACAGCTCTGAGCACAAAAGCAGCATGGCCTGGGCATGGGAAGAGTGGGGCAAAGCAGACAGGAGCCTTCTCTAGCTGACCGGTGGTTTCTGGTTTCTCTGCCCAGAGTGCCAAGATCTTATCAGGTGGTGTTTATCCATACACTTCTTGGACAGACCTTCATTAGAAGACCTGTTCTGTGATCCTCGGATACAGGATATTCACCTGCCATAGAAAAAGGGAGAGAGCCACATGCACATTTTGCTCCAGGGCCCTGGTAAGTTACAGCTCCACACATGCCCTGGCAATCAGAAGCAAGGAAACCCAGACTTTTTTTCCCTGCCTTTATCAATGCATTGGGATTGTTGGGTGGGAACACGCAGACCTTGTGCTGGAGATGAGCTGCTCTGCCCAGCACTGGTGGCTGCCATCCGAGCTGGTTTTGCTTGTCCTGGTTCCCTGACCGCTGGGGCCCTGGGCAGAACCCTGACAGCTTGGTCTGACCCCCAGGGAAGGAGAAGGAGTCCTTGGAGAAGCTGTACCAGGTGGGGCTGCTGCTGCTGCTGGAGACAGCAACGACAACATCAAGGATGACAACCTCTTCCTCAACCTGGCCACTGGCAGCTGAAGGTGATGGACTTCTGGCACCTTCTTCAAAGCCAGGCTTCACAGTGAATTTGCAGATGAGTCCACAGCCGGGGAAATGCTCCCAGATTTCGGCATTGCTCAGACTGGTTGGGAACAAAAGTTTCTCCCTTTGCTGGGGCAGATGCAACTTCAGTCAGCTGCCCAGCTGCTTTTTGGCAGGGCTGGGGGCATGGGCTGGGGTGGATACAAGATGGGAGTTGGTTCCTGGCCCTGCAAACAGCCCTCACCACCCAGCATGGCCTGGGCTGAGGCTGGGGCTGGGGCTGGGGCAGCCAGCCCGGAACAGAGAAACCCCCATGGCGGGAGCAGAGGTGGGACTCCAGAACCTGTGCAGGGGCTGCTTTGCTTTAGAGGCAAGGAAGGGCTTGGGCTGCTCCACTGCCCTTGTTTGCTTTGGGATCACTGTTATTTTGGGGGGCAGTGTAGGAGGGAAGAGAGAAAGTGTGGCCTTCTCTCCCCCATGGGTGGGATTTTCCCTAGCATGTAGGGGTTGGGCCTTCCTCAGACCCCTGACTAAGATAAGAGTTTTTTTCTTGTTTCCTCTTGTCTCTAATCTCTTTTCAACAGTTTGTTGTTTGTTTTTCTAGAGGAAGTGTTCTATGTAAGGTCCAGTCTGGGTGGGGAAGTGCTTGGGAGCAGCTGCAGCGTGGATGGGCCGTGCCCTTGGAGAAGGCTGAGGACATCGTTTGGGACCAGCTTTTCTCCCAGTGGGGGATGGCATGAGGTGAGTCCCCGTCTGCTTGGCATGGTGGGATCAGAGCTTTTGGGAGACGGCAACAAGCACACGGAGGGTCCTGCTCTGCTCCCAAAGGCAGCAGTGATGGGCAGCTCTGGGCACAGCTCTGGGCACAGCCAGCATGGCCTGGGCTCTGTGAGCAGCTGGGACAAGGGGACAGGAGCCTTCAGCTGACGGGCGCTTTCTGGTTTCTCTCCTTGCAGCCGGGCTCTGCGGGTGCTGAGGCTGCTCTGGGCTCTGCCAGGGCTCTGCTGGGCTCTGCCCTGGGCACAGCTGGGCTGGCTCTGCCCTCACATTGCTCTGACAGCTTTGCATCAGACGAGCCCGTTGGAGCACAGTGCCTGTAAAGCCAGGGAATCTCAGAAAAACGGAAAGCTGGACAAGACAAACGCAGGTTCAAACCAATGTGGTTAATCAAGCGTTTTCCGTTTATTCAAGATAAGGCGGTAGTTTATATAAGCTTCTACATAGTTTACAAAAACAAAGACACTCTAATTGGTAGGCTAACATTGTTTACCTTTTCCTTAAAACGGCCTACACTTTACACCATAAAACCTATACTAATTCACACCCAGACAACCCAGTGGTCCCCACAACACCTTAAGACTATTTTCTATCTGCGCCACAAGCTCTGAATTTCTAACTGCGTCAGAGGCTTGAAGGCCTCAAGGCCCAAATCTGAGGCCTAGACTGGAGTAGCTCAAATCTCATAACTCATGTCCTCTTTCTCTCAAAAATGCTGCAACAATTCCCTCTTTTTCTTTTTGAGCTACTCAGGCTGGAGTGAAGGCGCAATGAACTAATTTTTGCACACACTGTAAAAAACACGGTATAACAATTAAAATAACTATAAAGATAAAAAAAAAGTACAATACCAAAACAAATTAAGTCTTTGACCCAGCCAGAAAAACCTAAAGAATTGAGCCAGTTATCAAATGAAGTGTCCATTTGGAGAACACTGCGTTTGGCTCGTTGAGTCTTCTGAGGCAATTCGAGAACCTGATGTATGGTGGGAACAAAAAGCGTCAACCTACTGATATAACATGGGCCTCCCCTAGCATTTTGCGGGACTGCTGACCAGGCTCGGTCCCCACAAATGAGGAAGGTTCCTGGGGGCAGTTTTCCTGCACCACCTCTTGGAGTCGAATTGTTACAATATTCTAAATAGTTGTAATACAATGGTGATCTGGGAGACAACCAAGTGTCGTCATCTGTCAATTTTCCATTTTCTTAAGTTGGTTTGGTAGCATAAGATCCAAATATCAAACAGTAATTTCCTGGGACAGAACCCAAAAGACCAAATTCTTGAAAACTGTCATCAGTAAATTTAAGGTTTTGCACAAATGCAACAGCTTGCGCTCCCAGAGTGCTATTTAAATTTATTTGAGCTCGGGTCCAAGTTTTGAACTCTGCCATGGGACCCAACGAGACTCCAATTAAACAAGTATAAAAAGGGGGTTAAATGGTGTGGCTAACAACAGGCAGAATTAATCTTGCCTAGTTTGTTTGGCCCAAGTGATCCACATATTTTCTCTCTTGACAATGTCAAGGATTCCAGATACTTCAACAACTAAAACACTGCTTAATAAAAACATTGAGGCCCACCACATATTTCTCAGGTTTTTGAATGCCCTGTTTAACATGAAAGAAACAATCTTAATTCTAAACATAAACTATAATTTCTAATAAACTAACTTCTGATAAATCTAACTTCACACTTCTGATATTTCAACCTATTTCTCTGTACTTTACAAAATTAATTTTCATCAGAACTGGATTCATCAGGGATGTTCCAGGCAAACTGTTGTTGTTCACGTTGTTATCACTGCGGGTTGATATCTTTTTCATCTATTTTTAAAATTCTGTTTCTGCCTTTTCGTATCAATGCAGCAAGAGCATCTGTCCTGCCCAGACGTCTTGGTTGGACGGGTAAAAACACTCACTCAAGTAGAATTTCTGTTGATCCACGTTGGGACCTCCCTCTTTTTCTTTTGCCATTGAAAGACAATGGCAAGATGAACAGAAAAATCACAGGCATTACTAAAACTTATTAAAACTTAGCAAAAAAATTCTATAACATCATTAAAAACACACTTATAAAAAAAAAACCCTCAAAGCCCACTATCTTCTGTGGGTGAAACACAAATCTTTGCACAATCCACTTTTGCTGTGCATCCTCTGATCCACTTGTGGAGAGATCAGTGCCCTCTTGCAATTGATAAGTTCCACATTCTTCACTGAAATCCATCCAGATTCTGCACCTGTTAAAACACAAACAAACCCAACACCCCCACTGGGACTGGAGGGTCCTCTCTCAATTCTGTTCCCTAAAACTTGCATGAAGAAATGGAGATATCAACATCTTTGTTATAAACATGAAAAAACATTAAAAACAAAACAATGCACATAGTAAAGAAACTAACAACAAATAAAAATCAATCAGATAATACACAATCAATATTACATATAAAATCACAGTTACCAAGTGCTACACTATCAAGTTGTCATCCCAGAGTCTGCAGCAGCTGAAAAACCTTAAAACAACAGAGATTTGGATAAAACATGTCCGGATCATGTCTCTCCAAACTCTCTTTGAGGCTCAGCTGTCCTGTATGGTCAAATTGTCAAGCCAAAAGGACTTGAATACTTTTTGATGCAGAAAACATCTGGTTCAATCACACCATCCACGTAGAGCCAGAGCTTGGCCAGAGCTCAAACTCTAATTGGAGGATATGTTTAAAACAAAAGTCTTAAAAATAACAGTTATAAGTAAAAAACCTTATTGTTAACAATTTATCAAAACATCAAATAATTGAACCTGTCCAAAATTTCCTTCAAGACAAAAATTCTCTAAATACAACAAACCTTTTCTTCAAAAATCTGAAAATTTGAAGTCTGAAATCTTGAACCAAAATTTGGACAAAAAATTTTTAAAAGAAGATGAACTGCAGCTGCATAGAAGATTGGATAAAGAAAACACATGAGTAGTTAAAAAATCAAACACACAGGATCCTGAAAAACACATCTTACAATCAATCACCTAAAAAACAATAAGACATATAAAAACTGACTGTAAATATTAAAACAACACCTCAATACCTTAACATCTTAATAATAATTCTTATCACAAAAATCAGACAACTTACATTATATGATCAACCTATCAACAAGAAATGTTTAAAATATTTTAAGACAATCTTTTCAAAGCATTCATATAACATTAGTAACAATCATTACTTATCTTATCATTACCTACAAAAACTTGACAATTATAATTTATCTTATTATCTATAAAATTCAAAAATCATCATCACTTATATTATTATCTATAAAAACTCAAAAACAGAAATTGTGAACTCAATGCCAACATTCCATCTGACTGACTTTTCTCAAATCTTTGTTGTCAACGTCATTCTTGGCAATTAAATCATTATTAACATTTCTATCTTTCTTTTCACAGTAATTTTCATCCACATTGTATTTGAAATAACTTTGATTTGCATAATGTCCATCCTTCTTGGTATCTTGGAAAACACTCAGTATTGCTATACTTTTTCATTACGTCTTCTGTCTCTTGCAAGGAATTGGAAAAATGCTGTTGAAAATTTTGCTGTAGTGTTGCCATCTCGCCATCGGTGGCACTGCTGCTCTCGGCGTTGTTGTTACCGTGGCAACCAGGCTGTGCAGCGTCTCCGCCGCCATTGCTGGGTGCTGCAGGGAGGCGCCGCCGCCTTGCTCCCGTCCTTGCTGCGTCACTGTGGGTCGGCCCCCGGGAACGCCCATCTCCCTCCTCGCGCTGTTGCTCAGCAACAAGGAGCCTTCTGTCTCTCGGCCGAAGTCCGCTCCGCCCCGGGGCCGCCTCAGGCTCGGTGCTGCCCGGCCCCGCCCTGCCCGGCCCCGCGCCCGCCTGCCGCTCCGCGGTCCGCCCGCGCGGCTGGCCGGTGCTCACCGCCGCACCCTGCTGCTCTCCGCCACAGTCCGTTGCCTTAGTTCTGCCAACCCGTTCCGCAAGGGACGAGGAAGGGCTTTCTGTAACTTTTTCTTGCCTTTGTATCTTGCTTTGTGATCGCTTGTCCCTGCTGCAATTGACATGCCGCGCTGGGTTGCTCGCCGCCGCCGCCGCTGCTGCGGGGGGGCGAGGGGCCAGCACTGCTTCTCTCCTATCTCTGCCCTCTATCACTGCGTCCCAAAGCAGCTGCCCCAGCTCTTGCGATTCGACTTTACTAAAAATCAGCGAAGGTTTTTGCAGCTTGCCTTTGCTTCGCGCCCAAAGGACCAACTGCTCTAAATCGGCTTCTTTAACTTTTTCAGCTCTCTTTGAGAGAATATGAAAGAGAAGCCGCACTGAAGCCTGCAGATCCCCATCCATGGTGAACTTTCACCCTCTCTTTCTGTCCGCGGCTTACCTCCAAACCTCCGCGGGTTGCTTCGCTCTCGCTTTTCTTCGGCAAGGCAGCAACTCCGCTCCAGCTTCCCGGCCCCGACCACGTCCACACCCGCCGTTCGGGTCCTTTGTGAACGCCGAGGTCTTCCCACTGCTCCAACGGACTCTCGCAAACAAACAACAATGCAAAGAGTCTTTTTCCTCCCGTTGGGAAACGGCCCAATTCGGAGTTTGGAGACTTCTGCTCCGTTCCACCTGATCCCCGTTCACAAAAAGTGAATTTGGGATCCCGGCCCCGTCACCATGACGCGATTTGGACCTGAATTTTCGTCGCGCGACTCAAACTCAGCTGCCCGTTACTCTAAAAGTAATTTGGCAGCCTTTTCGGAGCCTCCTGAGTCCCTGGTCCGGGCGCCACTTAAAGCCAGGGAATCTCAGAAAAACAGAAAGCTGGACAAGGCAAACGCAGGTTCAAACCAATGTGGTTAATCAAGCGTTTTCCGTTTATTCAAGATAAGGCGGTAGTTTATATAAGCTTCTACATAGTTTACAAAAACAAAGACACTCTAATTGGTAGGCTAACATTGTTTACCTTTTCCTTAAAACGGCCTACACTTTACACCATAAAACCTATACTAATTCACACCCAGACAACCCAGTGGTCCCCACAACACCTTAAGACTGTTTTCTATCTGCGCCTCAAGCTCTGAATTTCTAACTGCGTCAGAGGCTTGAAGGCCTCAAGGCCCAAATCTGAGGCCTAGACTGGAGTATCTCAAATCTCATAACTCATGTCCTCTTTCTCTCAAAAATGCTGCAACATGCCTGAGCTTTCTGCTTTGGCAGGTGAGTGAGACTCCCCTGCAGGCCAGGAGATTGCAGCTGGGAACACACATCCAATTGGCAAGGACCCAAACTCTCCATAGTCCCAGATGAACCCCTGAATCTCCGCAGGAACGCCTGGATCTCCACTATTCATTCTTCATTTATTTTTGGCTGGAATTGTGCAGTTGCACTTTCTTCCTCCTCTAGAAGTGCCATGAGTGGGTGTCCTAGTTTAGGGCAAATTTGGGGAAAACCCTCTGAAAGGAGCCCCCAGGAAATAAACCCCCACGGCCCCTCCCCACCCACCTGGTTCAGGGAAAAACTTCCTCTAAGAGAGAAGTGGAAAAAAACCTGTTTATTCAACGAACAAAGCACTCCCCAGCACCAAAACAATTAGCAACACCAGATGACAACAAAACTCTTTCACCACTCTGAAGAGATTAACAAATCCAGGACGTCTTTCCTGGGAGTGGTCGCCCGGGTCTGGACGCTGGGGATTGCTCTCCAGCACTGGGGATGGCTGCTACAGATCACAAAATGCAGGCTCTCAGTGTTTATTGGTGTTTCCCAGATGTCCAGAGCAGGTTGGATGGTATTCAGGAAGAGGAAAGGAAAAAAGCAACAGTCCAGGGAAAGAATTGGACTGCTTAGCTAACCTAACTAGGAAGCAAAGGCAAAAGCAGAAGCAAGCAAGCAGGCAAAGCAAGCAAACCAAGCAAGCAAGCAAGCAAAGCAAAAGCCAGCCAGCCAGCACTAGCCTTTTCTAGACAGCAGACCATGGGGGGAGGTGAACCAGGTGATAACAAGGCAAAACAAACCTTCACTTTCAGAGTCAGTTCTGAAAGCACAGAACATAATATCAAACGTAAACAGAACACACGACTGGAGATACAAACACCATAACGTCACCGTAGGACAGTGGGCCAAACCTGGCAAGCGAGCCGTGTTCCTGAGGCAGTGCAGTCTGGAGCTGATGGATGGAGAATTGCCCTTCCCACTTCCAAACCAGAGCAAAAAGCAGTAAGTGGGATTTTTCATCCGTAAGTAACCCCTGACAATTTCAGAGGGAATGTGCAGCTCATTCACAGAGAAGGAAGGTCATCTCCTAAAGGATTTGGGGTTTGACAGAGTTTAGATTCCCAGTCCTGCCTGGAGCTGGAAGGGCCCCAATCAATTTCCTATTGCTTTGACGACAATTTAAAATAACAATGTTGGAAGCAAACCCCAAAAACTTTAAGAAAGGCTGCTGAGGTCAGTAAGATGGATCCATGCCATCAGCACATTTACAATGTAAATAACTGAGTTCTCTTTTTAAAAAGATCATTTACCTCTTAATGCAAAGTTACAGAAGTTGTTTCACTAACACTTGGATTTTATTTGTATCTTTTACAATTAATCTAATTGTATTTTTTTTCTTTTTCCTTTTTTTTTTTCTTTAAGTAGAGGTCCTGGCCCTCTTCCAGCCAAAGGGGAAAGGGCCCCACCAAGCCTTGTTACCCACAGACAACATGGTAAAGCTGAACACTAAAGGACCTTGGGGGCATTATTCTGGAATTAAAAAGTTGACAGCTCCATGGACAACAGAATTATTGTTCCTAACCTGAATGACACTGAGCAAAAAGAATGAAGAACGGTGTCACTAAAGTACTACTGATGTTTGCCAAAACACCTCCAGAGTTTCACCAAGGGATCAGTCATCAAAATGTTTTGAAAATTTAAAGACCAAGGTAGCCAAAGCACACAGTGTCACTAATTACTGGGTATGTTCTCAGCTGAAGTTGGGAGGAATGGGGTTCCCTTGGAGGGCCCACCCTGTGGGGTGGCCAGAACTCTGTCAATGGGGTCTGCCTCGTAATGGAGTCAATGAAGGGACAGTTACAGAAAACTGTGCTGTGGAACACAGGAATACAACGATCAGTGTGACAGGATTCACTCAGATTTCCCGTCAGGAGAAACCAAACCCTGTTACAGTTATAGAGGCTACAGTGTCAGAAGATTTCTGTGCTTTACCATCACTCCCAATGTCAGTAGAGCTTGGGGTGCTGCAGCTGCTCAGTGTCACACCACTCCCAGCTGCAGGGCCACCATTTAGGGTCCTTCAGCAACGACCACACGGAAGACTTAGGGCCCAGAGAACATTTTCCACCCAAAGAGTGCCTTGGGTTTCTGAAAGCAAAAGATTCTGGTTCACCCTGTGCCCCATGTGCGCTGCCCCATCCCGTGGAGTTTACATGAATGAGCTGAATGGATTATTAGAAGAGGTAGCAAATGGTCTGGGGTATCCCCGGGGTCAGTTGGGGTCACATGTCCTGGCTGTGTCCCCTTCCAAGCTCCCCCGCAGCCCCAGCCCCTCTCCAGCGTGGCCAGAGGAGGGGCAGGCCAGGCTTTGGCTCAGTGGGAGCTCAGCAAGAACAAAAGCATCTCTGTGTGCTCAGCCCTGTGCTCAGCACCCGGCCCAGCAGCGTCTCAGTGCCAGGGTCTGTGCCATCAGTCCCTGCCAGGGGTTTCCATGGAACCTGCCAGGCCAGGTGACCCAGGTGTGGTGTCCCAGTGAGGGCTGCCATGCCCAGCACTGCCCCTTTCTGTCTGCCTGACCTGGCCTTGGCCCTGGCCCTGCTGTTTGCTGCTGGTTCCGCAGCGCCTGACCGGCCCGCGCAGCACAGGGCAGGTGGCCACGGCACAAACCCACAGCAAGGGCTCCCCTCTGGCTCTGGGCAGTGACACCAGCCCTGAGCAATGGGCTGGCGCACTGGGGTCAGTGCAGTGTCCATGGCAGCAGTCCCTTGCAATGCCCAGTGCAGGTTGGGATGATGATCCACCCTTATAGCCGGCCCAGGGCAGGTGTGCGGTGCCCTTCCCCACAGCCTGTCTGCACAGAAGCACTTCCAGGGCTCTCTGCATTTCCCTTCCTTCACTCTTGAGTCACTCACACACCTCCCAATGACCCACTGGGAGCTTTGAGCTGCAAGGAGTGCAAAGCTGGTCTGTCCTTCAGGAGTGGCTCTCATTCTGCCCTGAGCCAACTCTGGATTTGTGTTCATTGCAGAACTTCCTGTGTGTCTACATCATTCCTTGCAGGGTTCTGCCTTGGGGAAGGGGAACCTCCTTGGAGGTACCTAGGGCTTGGCACACGCTTGAGGAGTGTGTCTGTTTTAAATGGGGAAGCTTAGGAGTTTTAGATTGCTTCAAAAAATAAAAGAAGAAAACCCCTCTTTGCCTGAGCGCAGCCAGTTCTCCAAGCACAGCAGGTCCCAGGTGATTGAGCAGAGACAGGACGGGCTTGGGCTATGTGGCGCAAGGTTGTCCACAGTGCCTCAGACCTCAAGGCACAGCTTCTCTGACTATGCCAGACAGCCTCAGGAGAGTCCCTGGGCCAATATCAGTCGCTGAATGCTGCAGTCACCTCTGCTTTCAATAGAACAGTCATAAAATATACTCTTCAAAGAGGAACATGGATTTATTGGAAGCTCTTGCAAATAGTTTTCCATCAGTATTGTAGGAAACCTCCTGACAAAGAATCTCCAGGGGCTAATTACAGCAGATAATTGGAGTCCATGATTGCACAAACCTCTCAGGACTCCAAGGCAAAAGCCAAAGTCGTTTGAAAAACCTGCAGTCCCTGGGAGCATGAAGAAGGGCCCAGGGCCATTCCTGACCAAGGTTCCTCAGGGCCTCTTCCCAGCAGCTCCCTGAGGCCAGGAGTGCAGGGAGGCAGAGGCTCTGTGTAGGCAGCTCAGCTGCTGAGCAGAGCCTGGGCTGGCTGGAGGCAGCAGAAAGGCCAAGGCCTGAGCCCCAGCCCCAGGGAAGGCAGATCCTGTCCCTCCCCGCTTGCTCAGGGCTCTGCCGGGAGCACTGGCATAGGGAGGGATGCTGAGGGCAGGACAAGGGATGACAGTGCCCAGCCTGGCTGGGGCTGTGCCAGGAGGCCCCAGTGCCTCAGGACAAGGTGTCTCCTCCTCACAGCCCTTGGTGGCAAGACGCTGCTGTTCCCCAGGGCACCAAGGCTTGGCTTCTCCTGGCCACTGCCAGCCTTGCCAGGGCCCTTGGCCATGTCCAGCACAGCTTGTCCTGCGCTGTCCCACAGCTGCTGCTGTGTCCCTGCAGGCTGCACACTCCCATCTCGCTGCCCCCCGGGCCCTGCCCTGCCCCTGCCCTGCCCAGGGTATGTCTGCAATTCCCCCAGCCAATGGGTGGGGATGGGCAAGTGTTCCTGAGGGCATAGGGAGGGGACAGCTGGGCTGGACTGACCCAAGGGATCTCCCATTCCATGCAATGTCATGGTCAGCAATAAACTGAGGGAAAGGAAGGAGATAGGGCTGGCAGGGAGGGTTGTGGATATTTTTTACCAAGACATTTCTCATACAAAACACAAAGTACATGTTCTTGATCCTGTCCTACCAGAGGTGGCTGGACTGATTGTCTGCTGATGAGAATCAGCAATAGAGGATTGATCTAATTTGTTGTTTCTTTGCTTCCACCTGCAGCCTTTGCCTTTTGAGGCCCTTGCTAATGAGGGTGTAGAAGCCCAGAAGATCAAGACCTGGTTTGCATATCCCAAACATCAAAAACTGGATGGCTGTGGGACCAACCAAGGATTGGTGAGTACAGCCAAGACTTCTTGGCAATAACACACTGTGAGGAAGAACAGACTGTGTCTGCAGAAGGGGCCAGGCAGATAAAGGCAGAACTTTTCCAGGACAAACATCCTTGCTCTGGCTCCTGGGCATAATCACTACATGGCCCAAGTGCAGGAATGAGAAGTGGGCATGGACTGTGGGGGGTCAATCCCACCAAAGACCCCCAAAGCCTCCGAGCCATTTCCAGAAAGGTGTAGCAGAACTAACTGCACGTGATAAGTCATTTGCACAGAAAGTGAGACACTTATCACCAGGGCAGGAAAAAGTGATCAGTGAAGAGGTCCTCCCACCAAGGCCAAGCACATTTGTGCCCCAGCGCCCTTGACATCCCATTGGATGGATCAATGCTGGAACCAGGACTGGGGATCTCCTCTCTCTCTCATTTTCTTTCTCTCTGCCCCTCTGATTCACGTGTCTGTCTCTCCTGTCTCTGCCTCTCTTCCCTTTCACCTTTCCTCTTGTGCCTTTATACAAAACCTACTGACATGCCCTTTTATAGCTCAGAGACTGACATCCCAATTTCTATGCTAAATGCATAATGAATTAATAAAACTTTATAGGCCTTTGTGGACTCTCTGAGCTTTTTAATTTCTTTCAGCCATGAGCATCTACAAAACCTGAGTGTTTCCTTTGCCTTAAGTTTGGGAGATCACAGAGAGTGAGGGAGAAAGAGGCTTGCTGGCCCCTGATGGCCGCACACATTTAACCTGCCAGTGTCGTTTTGCTCAGCTTTTCTCTAGCAGGCAGCGTTAACCAGATGCAGCTGCGCAAGGGTTTCCAGCAATTTGACATCATCCACAAAGTACTTGGAAGTGCATTTTGTCCCATGGCACAGGGAATATATGAATATTCCATTGTAGTCAAGGGCTGGTCACTGCGGGATGTCACCAGGGCGTGGCTGCCAAGAGGACTCTGTTCCATGAACGACATTTGACCCTCATTGTTCAGCCAAATTCCCACTCACCCCATGTTCCATTCCTTCAGCCCATGTCTCTCCAATCTGGCTCTGAGGAGACCCAGCAGACCATGTCACGGGCCCTGCTAAGGTCTGGGCAAACAACATCCCCTTCTTTTCCCTGCCACGTGGGTTCTGCAGTCCCTGCCTTGTGCTGCCAGTGCCTGGAATGGCTGCAGGAGGATTTGTCACATCCCCTTCCCTGCTGAGCCTGACCAGTCTGTGACTGTCCCCATCCCCTCCCTGCCCTGTTTGCAGACTGGTTCTATGTGTGCCCTTCCCAAGTGCCCAGGACCCTCTGGGATGGCTCTGGCCTTTCCAGGGGCTTTGAGAGAGGTTTCACCGTGACACTGCCCAGCCTTCTCAACATCCCTGACACCAAAGGCCTCTGCCACATCCCTCAGTTCCAGGTCAGTGCCCAGGGCACAGCACGGCCCTGTCCAGGTTCTCAGGGTGGTTCAGAAGGCAGGCAGCTGTGACTTCTCCCTGCAGACCCACCACTCTAATGTCCCTCTGTGCAGTCTGTGGCTGTCCTGAGCATTTCCCCTGGAGCCTCCCTGCCCTGGATGTTTCTCTCCATGAGCTCATCTATAAATTGGCTGCTCCACTTTTTGTACCCCTGGGGGTTGCCTCAGGCAACCCTGGCCCCTGCCAAGGTCTGTCAGTCGACTCTTCTTTGCCTTTCATCCCTGGAGGTTTCTTTCTTGCCACTTGAGGTGTTGTCATGCTGCACTTCCTAGCAACAAGCTCGCCCTTTTCTCAAATGTTTTATGCAAAGGCACAGGTACACACACACCCTCCTTCCACATGCCTGGACTACTAAGGCCCTCTCTTGGCAACTATACAGAGTGGGGAAGATGGACTATGGGGTGAACAGAGGACATCTAAACAACAAATCACAATAACATAACTATAAGTCAATAAACTTTCCTTAACATACATATAATATTAATCTCTTAATTGCGAGAGCCAACCATTGCATTAGCCATTTATAACAGAGTGAAGTGGCCTCAAGGCACTATTTGTGCCACTCGAATTGTGCCACGCCCAAGCGCTGATGATGGTTGTGATAGT